AGAGCCGACCCATAGCGACCCTGTACAGGGTTTCCGAGGGTGTAAATCCTTACGGGAGTAGAAAGCCTCATCTTTCTCCCTCGGAGCGGCTGGTAGTTTCGAACCACTGACCTTAAGGTTCGCAGCCCGATTCGTAACCACTACGCTACCAGAGCTCCTTATAATTATACACATATAAAATGATTTTGCAAGTTTCAACTTATCCATCATTTTGAAAAATGAGGAAATCTTTATCAAAATGTTATTTTTGACCAAGCAATAAAATTTCTAACAATGATTCCTAAGGAAATGTAGCTCATGCGTGTAAAACTAATGTAATAGAAATATCAACCAAAGTGTTGCTCACAGCGAAATAGAAAAATTCCTTCTTGTTTTTAAGTGCTGTTTGTTTATTACTGACTCACAGTGACCTTGCACAGGGTTTCCGAGGCTGTGAATTGTTGCTGGAGCAAAAAGCCTCATAGTTCTCCCCTGAATATATCCTACATGTATATAAAAAGGGGAAAAAATACATTCATAGAATGAATCCTATACAATTATTAAGAAGGATAAAGAGATTGTGAGGTGAAATGTTCATGACACATAGTTAATAATATTATTATAAATGGAAAAGCAACTATTAGCAAGCTAATCAATATTAAGATGATAGCACTGAGGTAAAACTGTATTTTATATGTCAAATTTCTGAAAGTATGTATGTTGTTGCTGTTGTTAAGTGCCGTCGAGTTGGTTCCAACTCACAGAGATCCTGTATAGGGTTTCTGAGGAGCAGCTAATGAGCTTGAACCGCCGACCTTGCAGTTCAAACTGATCTTGCAGTCCATCGCATTAACTCGCAGTGCATAGTAGTCATTATTTAGATATGGAAAAACAAGGAAATTTTTTCTTCTGAATTTTTGCGCTCTCTAGAAACAATCACTTTGAAATCTCTCAGCTAATTCTCCAGGTTGTTGTTGTTTAGTGATGCCAAGTTGGTTCTGACCCATAGCGACTCTATAATGGGTTTCCTAGGAGCAGCTGGTGAGCTTGAACCACCAACCTTGTGTTTCAAACTGACTTTGTAGTCCAGCACATTAACCCGCAACGCCACACTAGGAGTCCAATTCTGCTGGTAGCTTTCTCCATTTTTCTCAGTAATATGACTACATTTCTTTAAATTAAAAAAAACAAAACAAAAACTTTACATATTACCATCAATATCTCCCATGCATGACTGCATAAATCTTGTCAAGAAAAAAGATCTATCAGAGAAAATCATTTGAGATAATAATAACGAAAAATCATCTAGAAATTTCCTTTTTATTACAATTTTCAGGTTTAAGTGAGATTAGAGAGCTTAATATGTGTTCCAGAAATAATCAATGGCCCAATTATTTAGGCACAGTGTTTCCAAAGTGTGGGTTATAAAAGCTGTTAAGATATCAAATTGGAACAGATTTATATTCGTTATTTCTTATTTTAAATGGAGGAAAGAAGAAAATTAGTCACATTTTGTTTTCTTGTTGGCAGCTCCAGCAAAAGTGCGTGTTCTTAAGGTCAGTAATGAGGTAGTAACTAATGAGCTGTTTTGACTTAATCATGATTTTCGCGTCCTTGATCCTTTGATACCCACTAACAATTGTAAATTAGTTATTTAAGAAATGGCAAGTATAAAATTAATAGCATTATTTATTGCATTATTAATTAAAAGAAACAGCAAACAAATCTGAGCCTTCCTGCATATAAATTATTTGGTTTAGTCGACTGTTGCAAAGAGAGAAGTTATTAATTTGGGAAATTTGGCAACCTAAAAAGCTGAAAGAAATTTAGATAATGGATTTTTTTTTAAAGAATACTTTGCAGGGTTTGCATATTTTACTTCTTTAAACTTTTATTTTGAAACCATTGTAGAGTCACAGGAAGTTGTAAAAATAATATGAGAGGTTCCAGGTGCCCTACACACCATTTCCTTCAATGGTTCCATCTTAGATGATTAGAACTATATCAAAACTAAATAAGTGTGCGTATAGTCTATGCCATTTTCATTACATGTGTAGATTTCTGTAACCACCACTGTAAGCAAGGTCTGAAACTGTTCCACCACCACAAATGGTGTTGCTATTTGTCTACCTACCACCTCTGTCAGTTTGTCATACTTTGATGGCTTGTACATTGCTATGATGCTGGAATTTGTGCCAAGAGTATTTCAACTATCAGCAGAGTGACCCATTGTTGTTGTTAAGTGCCGTCAAGTGATTCCCACTCATGGTGACCCTGTATAGGGTTTCTGAAGAGGGGCTGGTGAGTTTGAACTGCTAACCTTGCGATCCAAGCCAACCTTGTGGTTGAGTACTCATACTACAGTACCACACCAGGACTCCATGGTGGGCAAATTTCAGGTGAGTTTCCAGATAAAGACTAGGAAGAAAGACTAGGTGAACTACTTAAAAAAAATTAGCCTGTGAAATCCTAGCATCACAACAGAATATTTTCTGATACAGTGCTGGAAGTTGAGCCTCTGGGTTTGAAGGCACTCAAAATCCACAGAGGTCTTAACAATGGACTGGTGCACACCAAAATAATGCACAAGTGGGCAACATTTCATTCTACTATACATTTGTTTGCAATGAGTCAGATCTGACTTTTTGGCCACTACTAATAAACAAATTACTCTTTCTGATTATTCATTATAGAGAATGTTTCTTTAATCGACTTAATCCTTAATCACAGGATGGGTAAACTAAGCCCATAGGTCAAAGGCTAATTGTTTTCGTGAACAGTTTTAATGGAACTAATCCACACCTATTTATCTACATGCTTATAACTGATTTAAAAAATGTCCAGGGTAGTGTAAAAGGTTTGTGGCTAACTACTAACCAGAAGTCCTGGTGTGATGCTGGGGATAAAGACTGGACCGCAAGGTCAATTTGAAACACAAGGTCAGTGGTTCAAATTCCCAGTCATAATCAAGTTGACGGCACCTAACAGAAACAACACTAACCTAGAGATTAGTAGTTTGAACTCATAGAAATGCCTGGCAATTAACTTTCACAAAGATTGCTTTGGTGTTTCATTGGCAGAGTTCAATGGTTGTGAGAGAAACTGTATGGTTATCAAACATAGTGCAGAAAACTTTGTTTTAAATCATATGTGAATAAATTAATGTTGCTTATCCTTAGGTGACTTTTTCTAAAAAAAATCATGGTCTTGGTGATAGAAATGATGCTGAAGATTGCATGATACAATTCTGCAAAATCAATGATTTGTTCGTTTCAAATACGTTCTTCAGACAGCATAAGAGAAGACTATACACATGGACCTCGCCAGATGGAATACATAGAAATTAAATTGACTACATCTGCAGAAAGAGATGATGGAAAAGCTCCATGTCATCAGTGAAAACAAGGCCAAGGGCAGACTGTGGAACAGACCATCAATTACTCATATTCAAATTCAAACTGAAGCTGAAGAAAATGAAAACAAGTTCACAAGAGCCAAAATATGACCTTGAATATATCCCACCTGAATTTAGAGATCATTTGAAGAACAGATTTGATACATTAAACACTAAACACAGAAGACCAGAATAGTTGTGGGCTGACATGAAGATCATCATACACGAAGAAAGCAAAAAGTCATTAAGAAGACAAGAAAGAAAGAAAAGGTCAAAATGGATGTCAGAAGAGAC